GCTAACCCCGCGTTACAAATCCTACAGCCCCTGCGCGGCCCGGGGGCTTCTCGGATTAATTAACCCGGTTTCTGCAGGCGGACACCAGCCGCGGACACCGGCGAGGGATGGAAACACCCAGCCAAAGCCTACGTTTGCTTTAAGGAGTTTACAAGCAATTGCAAGAAAAATCGATGCGTGCAAAATTTTTTTTTTTTGCTACATTGTAGCAAAAATTTAGTTTAAGTTTACCCACGGCTCGGCCTCAACCCAAAACCCTGAAGCAATGGGGGAAACACAGGACAAAGCTTAGAAAGTCACCCTGACTTCAGGCACAACTTAAACAAGCACAACCCGAGCAGCCGACGGCGCTTTGGCCGCGGGACAGCAGTGCGAAGCCACGCATGGCACAGGGTGAACAGCTCCCGGGCCGTGGCCAGCACCCAAAGCACAGGCGCCGGGTGTCCCTGCTTGGCCCAGCTCCCAGCCAGGGTGTCACGGCCAGGCTCAAAGTACAAGCGCGCACGTGTGTAAGCAGTCCTTTCCCAATGAATTCCTCCCCCGTGATCTGGCTACACCTTTAATTAACACAGAAACATGGAGCAGAGGCAGCTGCCCCTGAGCAACACGACTCAGGACTCACCTTCTCAGCCTGGGGGTACCGCACACGGGGGCTGCCCCACTCCCTGCTGATCCGCTGCCGGTACTGGTGGCACTTGGGGATGTACGTGCAGCCCACATCGCCCAGCTCCGGGTAGATAATTTCTAAATCCCCTCTGGGGAAGAAAAGGGGAGAGAAGAGCATGTAGGGCGAGAGCACACCACACAGGGGATGGGAATTAGTGCCACATCCCAGCCAGCCTTGACCTGCGGTTGCAATGCTGGGTGGGAGATGCAGGATCCCACCTCCTGTCACCAAAGGTGCCGGGCAGCTTGTGCACCAGGGTAAAGGCCCTCCCATGCTGTAACATAACCGTGGGCTCTGCTCCCTCTCTCAAGCAGCAGCAAGACTTTAAACATTCATTATGGCTCGGCACACTTTAGATCATTCCCAGGATTTTCCATAGTCTTTAAAAATCATGGCCCATACGGGTTAAACTAAGGCTTGAAGATGGAGAGCAGGAGAGCAAAGCTACCCTCGCTCCCCCTTGGCCTCAGACAAGCTGTTTGAGCTCTGAGCCCCCTTCTCCCACTTGTGATATGAAAGCAGGGACAAGCCTCCACTGTGGTTTGGGTACTGATAGGTCAGATATCTCCAGCTCTGACTTCTGCATGAAATGCTTTCCCCTTCTGCGTTATCTAGCAGAGAAAGGGGCTGCTGGAGCAAGCTGTCGGGTCACTGCAGAGTGTGGATAGCAAGTCTCAAGGCCACCCTGAAGATTAGCTGCCACAGACATGACCCTTGCAGGAGGGGCCCTTAAATCCTGCAGCCCAAGAGGCTGCTGAGCAAACACCTGCAGCAGCGCGGGGCTGGCACAAAGCAGGCTGAGAGTTCAAAGCAAGGTGCTTTGAACTCATGGTTTGTGGGAGGAAGCTGGGGCCAAGTGAAGTCTCTGCTTGCCTTTAGAAGCTTAACTTGCTCATATTTAGAGAGCATTCTGGTTAACTGAAAAGCAGCAGAAAGCATGTTTTTGATGCAGAAGCTCCCAGTAATGTGGGATATTAAGAACCCCCCAAAGGCAAGGGGCACGTGTGTGCTGCTGCTCACCCAGCCCTGCCTCCCATCTACAGCAACCCACAGGCAACAAGAGTTTAAGCCAAGGACCTTCAGTATCAAAACACTTGATAAAAGGGTACATTCAGTGGCTGTTCAGCTGGGGGCCCAGCTGGTACAGCATCAAACTGCTTGTTTGCAGCCCCAGGAGAAGCTCCCCAGCCTTCCTCCTCTTCCCATGCCCACACCTCAAGCATTAACATCTCTGCAGGATGGGCTTTGAGGTCTGTGGGATCACCTGTTCTAGCACTTTCCTTCCCCAAAAGTCGCTTCCTTCCTCTGAAACTTTCTGCAGAAAACATCATCTCTGATGCTGTAAGTCGCTTTAAAAGCCTCTGCAAAAATGGACCAAGGAACAACTCGAGGTGACCAGAGACACTAAGATCTCAGCTTGCATAAAACAAGAGCTGCACAGTGCGGCAGGCACTGCTCTGCTTCGCTCTGGCCCAGATTCCTGGCAAAAGGAAGAAAGCAACCAATATTTATAGCCCTGGCAAAGGGGATACTGGAATTAACTGTCCCAGGAGGTGACATGCAAGGGCAGCACATGACTGGATGCCCAGGGCTTGTGCAGTTTGGAAAAGAGACAACAAGGAGTCACTCACCTGCAGAACTCACTGTCCACGCTGCTGAGCATCTGGAAGAAGCAGGTCCGCGAAGGCTCGTCCGGCCAGGGGGGCTGCTCCCCCTGGGCAGCAGTGCTGAGCAGGCTGGCAGCCAGCAACACAGCACCCAGCAGCTTCATCCTGCCCTGTGGGGACCAAGGGACAGAGAGGGTCAGTCCCACGGGCAGAGCTGGGACCCAGCGCTGGCCCCCCAGCACCTGCTAGCAGCCACTGCATCTCCACCACCATGCTCTGGCTCAGCCCCCCCAGGAACCAGCTCCAGGCAAAGCACACCCATCCTTACACAGCTTTTTTTCCCCCCACTTCCACATCATTAATCCCAATTATGCCAGAAGTGAACCGTGTTTCCTGCTGCTGCCCCGTGCCAGGAAACACTGAGCAGGCTCGCAGCAAGACCCCACGTCTCAGAGGACCCGTTTCTGCCCACCTACAAGGAAGACAGATCACCACCCTCCTGCACAGCACCAGAGATGTGCACATATGACCTCACAAGCTGGGCAGCCCAGCCCAGCGACGATCACCTCCACGGTGATCACCGTGACACCACACTCCAAGCGGGGACAGAGTCCCTGTCTCCAGGTGCCAACCCTGCTGCGCTCCCTAGGACTCAAATGTGATGAAAAAGATGAAAAACTGGTATCAGGCTTGGTCATGGATTAACTAAGACCGCTACTGATGGATGCACGACCAGCAGCGACACTGACCAACACACCCTGACCCCAGGGAAAGCCTCTGCCAGGGGAACAGGCACAGGAGTTCATCTTGAACCCAGGCACCCCCTCCAGAGCCAGGGCAGAGCTTTTTCCATATGAGGACAGCCTTGGCCACCCATTTTTAAGTCTACAAAGCACAAGCCAAGCCCCGAGGATGAGGGGAGCCGGGGTATGAGGTTTATATACCCACACCCCTGCCAAGCCCAACGGCAGCCCTCGCCTCCCCAGGCTGCACTGAGGTGCCTGCAGCAGCCTGATGGACCCAGTGGCCAGGGCCACCACGGCTGGCCCTGCCAAGGCACTTACCCACAGGGTCCTGGGGATGGGCGAGCAGCTCTGAGGCAGAGCCCAGAGGCTCGAGGTTGCCACGGAGATGGTTTCCCTGGAAGGAAGGGAAGAAGGGACTGGGAACGAAAGACAGCCTGGGGAAGGGGCAGCTCATCCCCTAAAGGAGCATGAAAACCAGCAACGGATTTCCATCCCACAGCAACCTTCAACTGACCCACCAGCTCTGGGTCCTCACCTGGCCCTAATCCCCCCCTGCACTGACAGCTTCCCAGCTCGTTAGAAAGGATGCGACCCAAACATTTATTTGCATTAGCCTGTCTTTTCCATTGCCTAATCAGTCCTGGATGAGGCATATGCAAAAAACCCACTGTCAGTTGGGAATAGGTATTACAACACATACTGTATCATTATATAATGAAGTACCAGCACGCAGAGTGAACACGAGTAAGTACTAGCGCCACTGTCATTATGGGGAGAAAAAGGCATCAGGCTTAACTAATTAGAAACATTAATGTATTGGGAATGATCTGGAGGTTTAGGGGCTAATGGCTCCGGTTCCCACGCTACGAGATGGGCAAACCCCGTAATTAGAGCCCTGATCCTGCAAACAGGCTCACGTGAGTAATGCTTTTCCCATCGGAGTCAGGAGCACTGGTTTGCATGAGTCAGTATCACCAAAATGGGGTTTACATCCTCACACGCTGTCGCAAGCTGGGGGGTTGATAACCTGGGGTCCCAGGGGAGCCACGCAGGGGGAATCGCAGCCCTAGGCAAAGCATGCCCAAGGACTGTTAATCACTACAGCTGCCCAGAGACACTCTGCTGCAGAAAGGTGGATTTCTTAGAAGAGCAGGACTTCCCTTGGAAAGCTGACAGCTCAGCTGAAAGCTTGGCAAGAGGGTGGCAGGCAAAGGGACAGTGGCTTTGACCCGGACGGACACAGGGACTCAGCCACCAGGAGAGCTGTAGACATGGACAAGGGACTCTTCTGACCAAAGTGACTCTCACCATGTTAAACCCATCGATTTTTGCCATTTATTCAAGCATGAAAACAGCAAAGCTGGCACAAGGCTTGCATTGCTGCAGCCCTGGCAGCTCAGACCCTCAGGTCTGTCCCAGAGGAGCATCAGTACTTTGCAGTAACCAGCTCCAGTTGGTTCCTGCAGTAACTTTGCAGAGGTTACCCAAATAACAGCAAAAGCCAGGGACAGGATGAAATCTGAGCAAGCCAAACAGGGGTATTTTACTTTATTTTAAGCCCAGAGGCAGAGAGAAGCCCTTCATGCAGAGGCTATGTCAGCCACTTCCATCTGGAGATCTCCTGAGAGGATCGTCAGGTTATGGGATCAGCACAAAAGGGTTTGCCAACAGACAAGGTGCAGAGGGATCCCCCGGGGATGCTCTGGAAGAAAAACCCATGGGAGCAATAATCTCTCTTGCAGCATCCCGTGTAAGACGAACTATGGCTTTCACTTTAAAAGCTATTTGCAGAGTAATTACAAAGATCCTATTTCTCCCGCTCAGGAGACGGAGTTGAAAAGGCAGCGGGAAGCCCGTGCAGCAAACCCACATCACCAGGGTATGAAACACATGGGAAAGTCGTGCTGGCAGAGCCAGACAACAGCTCCTGTGCGATGCTCCCACAAGGTCAGATAGGCTCCTGGGAGGCATGAAGCCACCAGACTGTTTGCTTTAGACACATGCACAGGACAGGGTGACTCAAGAGCTGGCAGTGCTGCTGGCTTTGCTGCCAGGCTGTAGCTGACAACCCTGCCGGCACAAATACTCCAGGCCTGGCAAACCCATGCAGGGGATGGGTAATTTCCACTGGCATCCATCTCCTCTGGTCTGCCCGCGCCTGGAGCTCTCACAGCTGGGGAAAACCGATAAACCACATGCCTGAGAGCCTGCACGAAGCAGCTTCCCCTCTGGAGAAGGATCCTCCCATGGGAAAACACACATGTAGTGGTGTCAAGCCAGGTATGGAACGAGAGCCAGCCTCCTCTCCCAGCAACCCAGGTGCACCTGCATGTCTCCTCTCCTGACTAAGCATTGCAGGACTGCAGGAATCTCATCTTTCCAGCTGCTGGGAAGCCTCTGGCACAGTGCCGTGGCTATGCAGCTCAGAGCTGTGGAAAATATTTTCATCCAGGATTTCCCCCCACTCAAGAATGAGATACTGCCCTCCACTTACAAACAGATGCTTCACACTTTTTTTGCAAAGCCATTATTGAAAACACTACTGTAAAAACCCCTGCTGCTTCTCAGTTTTATCATTTCTGTGCAGACCAGACACAGATCTGCCTTGCTGGGCAGCAAACATGACCCGAGGGGTTTAACCACACTCAAACTATGTACTGCAGCTCCGCACACGTAACCCCTCAGCTTGCCCTGGCCTCTCGCTCTCTCCCCCTTTCCTCCAAACCCAGCAGAAGGAGAGGGAGGAATTGCTTTTAAGCCACTGTGAAGTTGGAAGATGGCTTGAAACAGCCCTGGCACAGAACCATGCAAGCTGCACTTGCCACCTTTCCCCATGCCCCATCCTCACACAGCCCTGGGAGGTTCCTGACTTCCAGCAGGAACCGATATTTGGGAAGAAAAATAAAGTTTTCAAAGGTACTGAGTCCAACCAGTGGCTTTTGGATAGATTCATTTGGTTAATCAGATGAGAGAAGCAATGACACGAAGCCCAAGGAAGCAAAGTGCTGCCCTACACATGCTGCAGTCCCACTATCACTTCAGCTCATTGGGAGGAGATATATATATTGCATTTATATTTCCAGCAAACCAAGTCAGGTCCAAAAGCTACTAAAAAGCCTTTCACAGTTGGCACAGCTAAGACATAGGTAAGGAAATCATCATTTTCTGTTACTATCAGAGATGAAAAGGCTCTTAATAAAAGGAAACTACCTTAAGGGTGGGAAGGAAGGGAGAAGTCTGTGGCTTGCTTTAACAACTGCAACAAAGCACATGCGAAAGCCAAGGCACCTCTGCTGGGAGCCAAGTTACACGCATCAGCTGATCCACGGGGCCACAAAAAGGGTGCCTGCAGAGAAAAGGAGAAGGTGGCTTGTTGCAGAGGCGGCGGCAGCCCACCTTGGGTGCTGCTGAGCCCCCCGGTCCAGCGCATCACACCTTTGCGGGCCACTTCTTGACATTCTCCTGTAGCCCCATAAACTGGTACCAAGGTCCCAAAATATTTGCCAGGGAGTACGAGAGCATTAGGACACAGCTCAACCAAAAATCAAAGTATTTCAAGGAACCCCATGGACATCAGCTGAATCTGACAGGCTCTCAAAGCTTTTACATGCATGCAAAACCTCCAGCTCTGGTGTCATTTGTTTACTTAATGCTGGGCTTTAATGTAGAACAAGTGTTTCCAGGTCAGAATTTCCCCATAAGTGTTCATAAGAGACCAGCTTTTTATTCTGACATGGGCCAAAAACACATTGTTTGTGAGCTTTGGAATTTCCCACCCGAGCTGCTGGCTTCCTGTTGATGTTAGTTTAAGATTAACCAGTGCCATTTATAATCCACTTGAGCATTTCTTCTGACTTCACCCAGCACTAAGTCCCCGCACCATAAAAAGCTATTTTATTTCATGGAATCTAAGTTTACCTCCATCCCATTTCGCTAAGCAACCTCGGCTCTCCCCAGGCGTTAATTGCCTCCCTGCTCTGCTCCTGCAGGCATCACTGGGCTTGAGTTTCCCCAGCCCCATGACACGGGAAGCCCAGCACTGTGGTCCCCCCC